CCTTGCAGCTCCACTGCCGAGCCCCATGAGGGGCCCGGCGGTGGACCTGCAAGGCCGGCGGGAGTGCGAGGAAGCCACGCGGAGGCCCTCCCTGGCCCCAGGCAGGCAGGGGTGGGGAGAGGCAGGGAGGAAGCAACTTACCCTCCCTCTTCTCCTGCCTCCTCCTGGCTGAATGAGGGCCGGAAGCGGGGCGGCCGGAAGCAGGGGGCGGGGCTTCGTCATGTGCCCCGCCCCCCGCACCTCACCCGGGGGAACTGCGATCCCCCGCGATCCCCCCCGAAATGACCTCTGACACCGGCCATACCTAGTTACATCAATAGGCTGGATCCCTCCCTACAGCAAGCAAGACTACTGATTTTATACGTCTTAAAGCGTTTTAAACTTTATCGTATTTATTAAAAATGTTGTAACCCACCCTGAGCCCGTTTACGGAATGGTCAGGATGGAGATGCGGAAAATAAATCAATAAATAAAGGAGGAGGAAGGGGACCGCGCGCTCACGCCGACGCGCCAACCCAGGCGCACACCCAAGCGCACTTACTCCTGGTGCCCCCAGCCCAGCTCGGGCAAGTAGGGCAGTTTCTTGATCCGGATGATGCTGTCGTAGAGGGACGGCTGCAGGCTCTGGGCCACGGCGTTGGCCAGGATCACCGCGATCATGACCGGCAGGATGTGGGAGATCTGGCCCGTCAGTTCGAAGACGATGACGGCCGTGGAGACGGTGTGGGTGACAGCTCCGGAAAGCGCGGCCGCCCCTGTCGCAAACGGCGGGGGATGAGCTGGGTCAGAGAAACGCCCTATGGGGTACCCAGAGCCAGAGAGGCCGCTGAGCACCCACACAGGCAGGGCCTATCCACACAGAAGAGCCGATCTGATACCCCCCAATCCTAGCCAGTGGGGTTGCCACCCTCCAGGCGGGGTTAAGCAAACAGAGTATGGTACACAGTATATGGATATTACACTACACAGGGATTGTGACTGTGATAAGTGCGCTAAACTAAATAATACAGTACTGCAAAAATCAGGAAATATATGCTGTTTAAATAAGTTAAAGTGATGTGCTTTTTTTACAAGAGGTTGGCTCCCGGAACATCCCCCCCCCCGGTCCCCCCTGCCAGTGTTTCCGATGGACCCGGCAACCCTAAGCCACCCCCTGGAAACTGGTAACCCTACGCATGGCAGCCCCAGCTCTCGCCCACTTTGCTCAGGGCCTTAACGACCAATCTGCCCCGCTACAGATCCTCTACCGCACGGAGGGGTTCCCTGCCAGAAAAGACGGCGCAGAGAAGTTTCTCTGCAGGTTGAGAGCTTGCAGGTTTTGGCTCACACGAGGTTGTGGCTGCCCTGAATTCTCCTCACGCCTGAGTGGCGCTTGTATCACACGGGCATCGACCAGTGATGCGGGCTGCGGGTTGTCCTTACAAAGCTGCCTGAGCCCGGTCCCCCCTGGCTCCGTGACGCTGGCTGACCGCCCCCTACAAACATCCCAGTGTTTGGAAATGGTACGAGAGAGGCTGCGCCTTACCCACCACTGCGTAGCCCCCTGGCACAATGCGGTAGACGTTGCTGTCGGTGTGGATGCCGTCAGGGAACCAAGCCGCCATGCTCTCGCCCACCAGGCGCCCGAATGCTGCCCCTGTCCGGGGAGAAAGGGTCAGAAGCTCTGGAGCTGGCAGGGCTTGGGGGGAAAGCAGAGACGCCTGGCCATGGCTCCTGAGAGGATCCCTGCCTCAATGTCGCCCCCGCGCACGGGAGCCGAGGCTTGCGGCAGAGAGGGCCGTCTCAGTCTCTCCAGCGGCGGTGCAGAAATCTAAGTTCCCAGGCTCACATTTATCTGTTTTTATGAGCCACCTTTCTCCTTTGCGGAACTCAAGGCGGCTTACGACAGAATATAAGCCGATGATTAAAAAACACAATCAAAACAATGTAAGTAAAACCACAGGAGAGCCAGTTTGTTGTAGTGGTTAAGTGTGTGGACTTTAATCTGGGAGATCCGGGTTTGATTCCCCACTCCTCCACTTGCACCTGCTGATGTGACCTTGGGTCAGTCACAAGCTCTGGCACAGCTGTCCTGGAAAAAGAGCCGTTTGTGTCAGAGTTCTCTCAGCCCCACCCACCTCACAGGGTGTCTGTTGTGGGGAGGGGAAGGGAAAGGAGTTTCTAAACCACTCTGAGACTCCAAGTGAAGGGCGGGGTATAAATCCAATGTCTTCTTCTTCTACAATGATACATCCCATCGAAAATGTCACAATTTATCCTACATTATTGTTTTATCTGTTTAAATACCTCATACATATCCAATCTATAATTTTTCTACCTTATATCAAGCTATAATCTTTGCAAATGGATGGGTTTACAATTCATATTGTCTTCTGTTTTAAGCATTGTCTAAGCATTTTACCATAATCTTCAGTCAAATGTATTTGCGTATATAATTCATAATTTCTTCTCGTTTAAAGTTTCCCCCCAGTACTTTAAGGGCTCAACTCAATTACGCAGACTCAGACATTCCCTAGCCAATCGTAATCAGTCGTGCAGTCGCAGGAATTCCCTAACCAGTCTTATTTATAAAATCTGATCTTCTTTTTCTGATTTCTCCTCTTCAGTAAAGTCTTAATTTTGTGCCTTTCCCCCTTATAAGTACAAAAGCTCTCTTTTAGAAACGACCATCTGTATTCAATTCTTGAAGTGACTGGAGATTCCACAGATTACCCGCCTATATATGTTTGTGTGTTTGTATTTCGTTTGTCCTATTAAAAATAATAAATCTTAGGAAAAGAAAAGAAAAGGTCACAATTTAAAAACTCTGATCGGGACTGCCAATAAATAAAAACGAAATCAGTCAAACTCAGTCCTAAATAAGACTGTCTTCAACTGCCTCCTGAAGAACGACAGTGAGGGAAACAGACGGGGAGGCTGCTCCATAATTGTGGGGCTGCTACCAAAAAGGCCGTTTCTTGCGTGCCCGCCAGACGAACATCTTTGATTGGTGGGACAGTTGGGCCATTGGCACTGAAAGAGTCGGACTGGGCAAGTGAGTTGTTGGGAAGGAGAGCCAGTTTGGTGTCGTGGTTAAGTGTGCGGACTCTAATCTGGGAGAACCGGGTTTGATCCCCCACTCCTCCACTTGCACCTGCTGATGTGACCTTGGGTCAGTCACAAGCTCTGGCAAAGCTGTCCTGGAAAAAGAGCCGTTTGTGTCAGAGTTCTCTCAGCCCCACCCACCTCACAGGATGTCTGTTGTGGGGAGGGGAAGGGAAAGGAGTTTGTAAGCCGCTCTGAGACTCCGAGTGAAGGGCGGGGTATAAATCCAATCTCTTCTTCTTCATCATCTTGGCTCCTGGGTTTTGCAAGGGGGGAAAAATCGGCAAAAATTGCACGCTGTCGAACCCAAGGACGAAAGAAGGGAAGGGATACAAATGGGGGCGGAATGCATGTTGGGTTTAGGTTTTCAGTTACAGCCACAGAAAGAACGTAAGCCTGGCTTCATGTTGCACCAAAAATTACAGGGAAATTTAAAATTTTTTAAAATGTATTTATTATTTTAAAACCATTTTTATGCCGTCTTCCCACCCGTTCAGGGCTTACAACGCTGCGAGCGTAAAAAAAAAACCTGTAATACATTTGTGTGAGTGTGTTAAGGGCTGTCAAGTCGCTTCCGAATTATGGCGACCCTCTGAATCGATGTCCTCCAGAACTAGGGTTGCCTCCAGGTGGGACTTGGGGATCCCCCAGAATTACAGCTCATTTCCAGACTACAGAGATCAGTTCCCCTGAAGGAAAATGGCTGCTTTGGAGGGTGGACCCTGTGGCATTGCACCCCACTGAGGTCTATGCCTTCCCCAGGCTCCATCCCCAAGTCTCCAGGAATTTCCCAACCTGGATCTGGCAACCCTACCTCCCCATCGCCTGCTGTTGGCCTGAGGGGACCTGGCGACCATATTTGTTGTTGTTGTTCTGTAGTGTATTCAAAGCTGCCTTGAATGCATAACATGTTGTGAAACATCTAACTGAACTGTAATGTTAAGCTTCGTCCTGGGCTAGGATCCAAAACCATCCAATAGTATTGCTAGCCCAGGAAGTAACGAGCCAATCACTTCAAGCAAGCTCCCTGAGTGGGAACTAATATGATTGGACCTTATCTCTGCAACCTCATAGGTTGGTATTTGTTCAGTGGGTGTGGCTACATTAGCCGGGAATGTTTAAAAGCAGGACAGCTGCAATGTAAAGGCTGTTCTGGCTATCAGATGTTGATCCGTGTTGGAGTTGTGTTCAAGTTGAATCACTCTCCAACTTCTTTGTTAAGCGAGCGATTGAACATGTTCAGTCGCACAGTCGAGTCCGACTCTCCGCGACCCCATGGACCAGATCACGCCAGGCCTTCCGGCCTTCCGCCGTCCTCTGAAGTTGGCTCAACTTCATGTTCGTTGCATCGATGACACTGTCTAACCATCTCATCCTTTGCCGTCCCCGTCTTCTTTGACCTTCAATCATATCATTAACAGCCTCGCTCAGGTCTTGCAAACTGAAGGCCAGTGTGAGTTAGCGCACAGTTTTTCAGCCTCTGGCTCACATATTTTTGTCTTAGCTCAGGAAGGAGGGCTCCAGAGCAAACTAATTTCTGCAGTAGCCAAATCGCTCGCTCACAACTTTAATGTCAGTACCTCACAAAGTAGAATTTTTGCTCACAAGACTCCACAGCTTAGAGGGAGCATTGCTGAGGGCCATGGCTTCCTTGATGATGATGGAGGATGAGGAGAAGAAAAAGAGGAGGAGGAGAAAATTGGATTTATACCTTGCCCTTCACTCGGAGTCTTAGAGCGGCTTACAATCTCCTTTCCCTTCCCCTCCCCACAACAGACACCCTGTAAGGTAGGCAGGGCTGAGAGAGAGCTCTTTCCAGAACTGCCCTTTCAAGAACAGCTCTGCCAGAACTATGGCTTGCCCAAGGTCATCCAGCAGCTGCATGTGGAGGAGTGGTGAATCAAACCCGGTTCTCCCAGATTAGAGTCCGCGCACTTAACCACTACACCAAACTGGCTCTGGAGTCATTTAAACAATTAAAAACATTTGAGCAATTAAAAATCAATTAAAAATATAAAATAATTCAATTAAAGAAGACCTACACAAACAGCGCTAAAAGGAGGGCCAGTAGCCATTATAGGGGGTATGCCAGACAAAACAAAACAGTCTTCCATCTGCTGGCAAAAGACAGCAGTGGAGGGAGACAGATGAAGCTCCCTGGGGAGGCAGTTCCAAAATTCTGGGGCCACCGCAGAGAAATCCCTTTCAGGGGGCAACTGAAGCATCACCTCTTTGGATGACCAGAGTAAACGGGTAGTTTCGTATGGGAAAAGTCGATCCTTAAGCTATGTTGGTGCCTGGCTGTACAGGGCTGACGTCTGTACTAACCTTTGGGGTGAGTCAGTATCTGCTTGCCAGAAGAGGTTGCGTTGTTCCATGAGGGACAGGAGACAGACTTTTGCACCACCAGAACAGGGGAAGGGAGAGCGGGACTGCTACTCACCAATGACAAAGACGGGCATGAAGGCGCCGCAGGGGACGGGGATGGTGGTCGCCAGGGCCGACATCCAGAACTGGGGGGAGGGCACAGAGAGACAGTCATGAGGAAGAGGCAGGGCTCCTGAGGCCACACCCACACAGTCAAAGGAAGTCAAGGGACCAATTTCTGCTGCAGCATTTGGGGGGGAGGAGGAGAAGAAGATAAAGTACCCACATCAAAGGACAGGTTAGAAAAAGGGCTGCATCAGAATACCTTGTGGAGGGAGGGGGGAGAAAAACTGGGTGAATTTTAGTGGGACTGCCTGATGTGCAGAGGGCAAGAGGAGAAAAGTGGCCTTAAAGGTGGAGTAGAAATAGCAGAGAGCCCGAGGGGGCTCAGACTATTTGGATGGTCTGCATTGGGGCAGGGCCGGCTCGCTCAGTAGGCGAACTAGGCATTCGCCTAGAGCACCAAACTGCCCCCACCAAAAGCCCCACCACCACCATTGCATTTCCACGGCTGGGTGACCCCCACCGCTGCCGCCCGCTGCCTCTTTGGCAGGCTAACTTCTCCCTGCCTGCCCCCTCGGCTTCCCAGTGGAGTGCGAGTGCTTCTCCTCCTCTCCTCCTCGCGGCCAGGGACTGGCAGCTGCAGCAGGAGCAGCAGCAGGGCCAGGGGAGCGATGGCTTGAGAGCGCCCCGCCAGTCAGCCTCTTCTCCGGGCGCCCTGACGAGGGGCGCCAAACTGCAGCCGCCCCCCAACAAAAAAGCCCCCCGCTGGCTCTGGCCGGGTGGCCGCCGCCTCTTTGGCCAGCTAACTTCCCAGGAGGAGGAGGAGCAGCACGGGGGGGGGGGCAGAAGGGGAAATTGGTGGGCGCACGGGGGGGGGGGCGCCAGAAGGGATCCTCGCCTAGGGTGCAAAATAAGCTGGGGCCGGCCCTGCATTGGGGCCAAGATGAACAAACATGAAAGCTGCCTTAGACTGAATCCAACAGTCCACCGAGTTCAGTATTGCCTACTCAGACTGGCAGCGGCTCACCAGAGTTGCAAGCAGAAGTCTTTCAGTATCACCTGCCCTGCTCCTTTTAACTGGAGATGCCGGGGATTGAACCTGGGACCTTCTGCATGCCAAGCGGATGCTCTTCCACTGAGTCACAGCACCATGCCTCTGTATCATCTACTCCAATTGGGAGTGGCTGTCCAGGGTCTCAGGCTGAGGACTTTCACATCACCTGCTGCCTGGTCCTTTTAACTGGAGATGCTGGGGATTGAACCCGGGACCTCCTGCATGCCAAGCAGAGGCTCTTCCACTGAGCCACAGCCCCTCTTTACAGCTCTCCAGGGTCTCAGGCCGAGGTCTTTCCCATCACCTCCTGCCTGGTCCTTTTAACTGGAGATGCCGGGGACTGAACCTGGGACCTTCTGCATGCCAGGCAGAGGCTCTTCCACTGAGCCACAGCCCCTCTTTACAGCTCTCCTGGGTCTCAGGCAGAGGTCTTTCCCATCACCTCCTGCCTGGTCCTTTTAACTGGAGATGCCGGGGACCGAACCTGGGACCTCCTGCATGCCAGGCAGAGGCTCTTCCACTGAGCCACAGCCCCACAGCTCCCCAGGGTCTCAGGCTGAGGTCTTTCTGGTCCTTTTTACTTGTAGATACCGTTCCGTGTGCCTTGGTGTTTAGTCATGCTGGCCACATGACCACGGAAACGTCTTCGGACAGCGCTGGCTCTTTGGCTTTGAAACAGAGATGAGCACCGCAACCCTAGAGTCGGATTCGACTGGCTTTCGAGCAAGGGAACCTTTACCTTTACCTTACCGAGGATTGAACCCGGGACCTTCTGCAGGCCAAGCAGATGCTCTTCCACTGAGCCACGGCCCCTCTCCTGATTACTGTCTATTCAAATTGGCAGTGGCTGTCCAGAGACTCAGGCAGAGGTCTTCCACATCGCCTACTGCCTTGTCTTTTTACTTGTAGATACCGGGGATTGAACCTGGGACCTTCTGCATGCGAAGCAAAGGCTCCTCCACTGAGCCACGGCCCCTCACAACTTCCAGGCTTCTTATTGTGTGCATGTGTGTTTATGAGAGAGGCAGATCTAGTTGCCATTGAGGTGGTAGACCACTGCTCGGGCAGTGCCAGTAGGCACATGTGGGTGAATGCTTCTAGACCAAATAAATAAATAAATAACCCGACAACCCCGCATCTAGAAACCTAGCACATCGGACCTAAATTCCTCCTCCCGGGCTACAGACGTTTCTCTGGTGTGCTAGACTTCCAGGGGCAGTGAGTGTGTCCAGACATGCAGTTCTCCCCAGATGGAAGTCTGCAACAGTACGATCGTGGGGAACTCTGTGGCAGGTAATTTATCAGTGATGATGGAGGGGCTCAAAGCCCCCTGGCTATACTTCAGCCCTCCGCCCACCACACTGTGGATTCGGCTGGAGAAGAATTCCCTTGCATTGGCTAGCCTGCCCAGTGGCTCGATATCTGGCAACTCTGTATAACCGTGCATGTTCTCATTCTGTCCAGTAGTGGCTCTGGGACCATCATGAGAACAGAAGAAGAACTCTGCTGAATCAGACCAGTGGTCCCTCTAGTCCAGCATCTTGTCTCACACAGAGGCTGACCAGTTCCTCTGGAGGGCCAACAACAGGGCAGAGAGGTCGAGGCCTTCATAAGAACATCAGAAGAGCCCTGCTGGATCAGACCAATAGTCCATCTAGTCCAGCCTCCTGTCTCACTCACACAGTGGCCAGCCAGTTCCTCTGGAGGGCCAACAACTGGGCAGAGAGGCCGAGGCCTTCATAAGAACACAAGAAGAGCCTTGCTGGATCAGACCAGTGGTCCATCTAGTCCAGCATCCTGTCTCACACAGTGGCCAACCAGTTCCTCTGGAGGGCCAACAACAGGGCAGAGAGGCCGAGGCCTTCATAAGAACCTCAGAAGAGCCCTGCTGGATCAGACCAGTGGCCCCTCTAGTCCAGCCTCCTGTCTCACACAGTGGCCAACCAGTTCATCTGGAGGGCCAACAACAGGGCCTAGAGGCCAGGGACTTCCCCTGATATTGTCTCCTGGCTCTGGGATTCAGAGGCTGAGTGCCTGTGAACACGGAGGTTCCTTTTAGTCACGGATACTCCCGGTCCTCCATGAAATCTGTCTGATCCCCTTTTAAAGCTGTCTGTATCTGTGGCCATCCCGACATCCTCTAGCAGGAGATTCCACATTTTAATCACTTGCTGTGTAAAGCAGTATTCCCCTTTGTCTGTCCTGAACATACTGCCCGTCGGCTTCAGGACTACCAAGCGGAGGAAGCGCTGCTGTTCCCAGGGACGATGGGCAACACCAGCCTCCAGGAGCCCAGGACCATTCAGGGAGGCCCTCACCCACCTTCATGACGATGAAGACGACCAGGGTGACAAACACGTTGGCGTGCGGGTGCTTCCAGGCCTCGGAGACGCCGACGTATTCGAATTCTTCGGCCAGGCCCTGCTTGGCCCAGGTGCGGTTGTCGAATAAGGTCACCAGGGTCTCCTTCTGGGTGAGCTGGCGGGGAAAGAGCAGCATATCAGAGGCGGAAGCGTCGGCCCAAAGCCGACCTCTGGGTGGGTCAACAGCACACAACGGGAGTCCCACCGGGCACTGGATCCAGATCCATCTGATCCAGTGTTCTGCTTCCGACAGCAGGTGGCCAGAGGCCTCCAGGAAGCATGCAGGCAGGCCGTCAAAGCAAAACCATCCCCCTGTTCTTTGTCCCAGCATTAGAGGTATACTGCCCCTGTGCATGGAGGCTCCACTACGCCGTTCAGTAGTCACTACTGAGTAGTGGGAATAAAGTGTCGGGCTTTGTTAAGCTTGAATGGAACCAGGGATCGGGGGGTGGGGATACACTCAGTGTCTAGCCACAGAAACTACTGTGCAGAAAGTTCAGGTGAGACAGAGAAGAAGAGGAGGAGGAGGAGGATTTATACCCCGCCCTTCACTCGGAGTCTCAGAGCGGCTTACGGCCTCCTTTCCCTTCCTCTCCGCAGAACAGACACCCTGTGAGGTAGGCGGGGCTGAGAGAGCTCTGACAGAAACTGCTCCTGAGAGAACAGCTCTGAGAGAACTGTGACCGACCCAAGGTCACTCAGCTGGCTGCATGTGCAGGGAATCAAACAGGCTCTCCAGATTAGAGCCCACCGCTCTTAACCGCCACACCAAACTGGCTCTCGGCATTTGATCACCACCCTGGAGCTCACCGCTGAGTCAGGATTTGCATTCTGATCCCCCTTCCACAAATTGTGACAGTCCGACACTATAACCACTGGGCGATACTATTCAGAGTGGGGCAGGAAAATCTCCGTGGTGGCTGCGGGCATGTCCCAGAATCCCTTGCAGTCGTGCTGGGAATTCAATCCATGCAGGGAGCAGAGCATGCGAGAAAGAAGACATATTTCCCATCCACCCATTACTGCAGGTACCTAGGGGTGCCAGACCACAGACTGTAACCCTTGGGAGCATTTGGGGTGAACACCGGAAGTGACATTATGATGTCAAGGGGTACTCTGCAGAATCTGCCATAGAGTTTTTGTGAATCCTAGAATGCCCCCCATACCTATGACATCACTTCCGGTTTTCACCAGAAGTGACATCAGTGGGCCGGTGCAATGCCAGACTGTGCCCCCCATCTCCCTCCCATCTGAGTTCTAGGTGCCAGTGGGCAATAACTGGGCTTGGCAACCCTACAGGAACCTCCTGAACCGTGCCAACCTTGACGTCTGCCAAGTACGTCGTGATGGGATTCCAAAAACAACATCCGTGACAAAAAATAACAAAGAGTCAATAAATTGCAAAAACGTTTACTGTGGTAATTCTGTAGAAAATGTTCTTCTAGTATCGCTCACACGCTTAACGAATGCTGCGCAATGGAAACCATTCGTTTCACAACATTTGCTTCATCTGAGCGTGTAGGAATCCCAGCAGGGCCGGCCCTAGCTTATTTTGCACCCTAGGCAGGATCCCTTCTGGTGCCCCCCTGGTGCGCCGCCCCCCTCCCCCCATGTGCCACCTGCCGTGCGCTGCCTCCCCCACAATGCCACTAGCTCAGAATTGCCACCACCTCGGGCTTGGGCGGCCTCCTCCAGTGCCGGTCAGCAAGCACCCGGTCGGGGAGAGGGCTTTTGGCGGGGGGGGAGGGTGAGCGCAGCACAGCCTGATGTCTGGGATGGCCGCGAACGGACTCTAACTCTGGGTTTGTGCCCTTTTCAGACGCCTGCTCTTCCCGGCCCTCGTCACTCTCCTCATAGCGACGCTGACCTTCCCGCCGGGCTTTGGGCAGTTCATGGCTGGCCAGGTAAATTGCCCAGACGTTGCCTGCCCCTCTGAGCTGGGTCTGCCATCACGACATACTTGAAGCCAAAGATGGGAGCTCACGGGAGGAAGTGGGATTCCAAAAAGCGACATCCGGGACAAAAAATAACGAAGAGTCAACGAAGACAAGTTGCAAAGACGTTTACTGTAGTAATTCTGTAGAAACCCTTGTGAAGACCTTGGGTTCTGTTATTAGAGAGTCAACAGGGAATAAGAACATAAGAGACGCTAAGGCTGGATCAGGCCAAAGGCCCATCCAGTCCAACACGGGGGCTGATTTCGCACTAGAGCTGCCTCGTGGTCGCGTCGCCGTTTGCCCCAACACTACTGGTCAATTTCACACCCGAAGCCGCGGGGCTGCATTTGACCTGCGGCTTCGCCCGATTCGGGCAAACGGGATCATGAAACTGCGGGGGAAATCGGGCAAAGCCGCGAGTCAAAATGCAGCCCCGCAGCTTCGGGTGTGAAATTGACCAATAGTGTCGGGGCAAATGGCGGCGCGACCACGAGGCAGCTCTAGTGCGAAATCAGCCCCCGTGTTGGACTGGATGGGCCTTTGGCCTGATCCAGCATTAGCGTCTCTTATGTTCTTATTCCCTGTTGACTCTCTAATAACAGAACCCAAGGTCTTCACAAGGGTTTCTACAGAATTACTACAGTAAACGTCTTTGCAACTTGTCTTCGTTGACTCTTCGTTATTTTTTGTCCCGGATGTCGCTTTTTGGAATCCCACTTCCTCCCGTGAGCTCCCATCTTTGGCTTCAAGTATGTCGTGATGGCAGACCCAGCTCAGAGGGGCAGGCAACGTCTGGGCAATTTACCTGGCCAGCCATGAACTGCCCAAAGCCCGGCGGGAAGGTCAGCGTCGCTATGAGGAGAGTGACGAGGGCCGGGAAGAGCAGGCGTCTGAAAAGGGCACAAACCCAGAGTTAGAGTCCGTTCGCGGCCATCCCAGACATCAGGCTGTGCTGCGCTCACCCCATCCTTCAACGCACTCGCTACCATTTGCCTTCAGAAAAGACTCTGAGCCGTTCCATGTTTATTTTAATTTCCTGCCTTTGTGCCCCCCCGCCTCCCCCCCCAAACGGCTTCCATCTTTCTCCTCTCCTCCATTTTATCCTCACCACAACCCTGTGAGGTAGGTTAGGTTGAAGAAGAAGAGGAGATTGGGTATATGCAAGCTTTGATTAAGAAGAAGAAGAGATTGGATTTATACCCCGCCCTTCACTACCCAAGGGAGTCTCAGAGCGGCTTACAAAATCCTTTCCCTTCCCCTCCCCACAACAGACACCCTGTGAGGTAGATACTTGGTGATACAGTGGAGAGTAAGTATATCAATAATGTCTTTCACTGAAATCGGGAGGACTCTCGTTAATACCGGGAAAGATAGACTCTCAGTTTATTTCTGCTTGAAAGTTTTAATAGAAGTTTCCAAAAGTGCTTCAAGCGAGTCCCATAAAATAGTCATTTAGAGCAGACAGACTTACACTGTCTTTGTGCCCCCCCGCCTCCCCCCCCAAACGGCTTCCATCTTTCTCCTCTCCTCCATTTTATCCTCACCACAACCCTGCGAGGTAGGTTAGGTTGAAGAAGAAGAGGAGATTGGGTTTATACCCCGCCCTTCACTACCCAAAGGAGTCTCAGAGAGGCTTACAAACGCCTTTCCCTTCCCCTCCCCACAACAGACACCATGTGAGGTAAAAGAAGAAGAAGAGATTGGGTTTATACCCCGCCCTTCACTATCCAAAGGAGTCTCAGAGAGGCTTACAAACGCCTTTCCCGTCTCCCCCCCCCCACAACAGACACCCTGTGAGCAATGCTCCCGCTAAGCTGTGGAGTCTTGTGAGCAAAAATTCTACTTTGTGAGCTGCTGGCATTAAAGTTGTGAGCGAGCAATCCGGCTATTGCATAAATTCATTTGCTCTGGAGCCATCCTTCCTGAGCTGAGACAAAAATGTGTGAGCCGGAGGCTAAAAAAAAAGTGAGCTAGCTCAAGGGGTCATTTCCTGCAGGAGCGCACAGGAGCGGAGCTCCAGCAGTAAAGAGCCCAGGGGGCGCATATGCAACAAGCCCCACCAGGCAGGAGGTGATGTGAAAGACTTCTGCCTGAGACCCTGGAGAGCTGTAAAGAGGGGCTGTGGCTCAGTGGCAGAGTGTCTGCTTGGCATGCAGGAGGTCCCAGGTTCAGTCCCCGGCATCCCCAGTTAAAAAAGGAACAGGCAGGAGGCGATGAGAAAGACCTCTGTCTGACACCTTGGAGAGCAGCTGCCAGTCTGAGTAGGCAATGCTCAGGAGAGAGGCTGTGGCTCAGAGGAACAGCATCTGCTTGGCATGCAGGAGGTCCCAGGTTCAATCTCCAGCATCTCCAGTTAAAAAGGACCAGGCAGTAGGTGATGTGGAAGACCTCTGCTTGAGACTCCGGAGAGCTGCTGTCAGTCTGAGTAGGTAATACTCAAGGAGCAGGGCTGTGGCTCAGTGGAAGAGCATCTTGCTTGGCATGCAGGAGGTCCCAGGTTCAATCCCCGGCATCTCCAGTTCAAAGGACCAGGCGGGAGGTGATGAGAAAAGTCCTCAGCCTGAGACCCAGGAGAGCTGCTGCCAGCCTGGGTAGACGATACCTGACTTTGATGGGCTGGTCTGATTCAGCAGAAGGCAGCTTCCTGTGTTCATGTGATCCTGAGAACCACAGCAGGCCCTTCCTTCGGGTGGAGACGCCGAAGCGGAGAAGAGAGGCTGAACTCTCAGAAGCCACAATGGGTGCTGGGAAGGATTTCTTAGGCTACAACAAAGCAGGGCCCGACAGAGGGCTCTTTTTGTAGCAGGAACTCCTTTGCATATTAGGCCACACACCCCTAATATAGCCAATCCTCCAAGAGCTTACAGAGCTCTTCTTACAGGAGCTACTGTAAGCTCTTGGAGGATTGGCTACATTAGGGGTGTGTCGCTTAATATGCAAATGAGTACCTGCTACAAAAAGAGCCCTCCTCTTTTCCTCTTCTGCGGATACGCAGAAGCAGAATAAACGATATGCAGGCTCATAATTCATCCCCCTTTCAAAGTTAAGTCTTTTCAAAGGGCGGAAGTTGGATTTTTCCAAAGCGGCCCTGGACACCAGCCACCTGCTTAGAGCTACACGAGCCTCTTTGCACGTCTGAAAGAGATAGGGATCTCTTTTCAATTTTAATGACTTCGATAAGAGTCAAACATCTCCGTTTTAATCGGTTCATCTGGTTTAATTCCGTTCCAGAATGTAGTGAGAGGAGATGGGCACCGGCTTTCCTCCTTTTTGGCTGAAAGAGGATCCTTTGAGCCGATGCTGTAGTGGGAAATTGCTTGTCTTGTTGCATGTAGAATTGGGTTCTATTATGGAGGGTCAGCTTATCTCACGGTTCATCTGAATATATTAGACCGTAAGGTATTTATTTTAAAAATAAGGGAGATACGGATGACTGGAGCCGGCAGGAGGCCAATGCAAAGAGGAGGCAGCACAGGCCCATAGCTGTGGTGGGTCTTTTGGGGGCTCCGCCCCCCCTTTTAAAGGCACAGCCCCACAAGAATTTGCACAGCCCCACAAGAATTTATCCTTTAAATGCTTTTTAAAGTCATTTTAAAACATTTTTTAAAGGCATGCACTCCTTTAAGCAGAGTGGGGTGCTACAATTGACTAATTCCTGCACTGAGCAAGGGGGTTGGAGTAGGTGACCTCTAGGAACCCCCCTTCTAACTCTGTGTCAAGAAACTGGTCTCCTTTAAGAGAGTTTTTCTGACTAAGCGTTACCTTTCTTGACTATGGAAGTTATCACCCCTACCTGCTGGCTTGTTATCAGAATTGTTGCCTAGGCTGGCGGAAGAGATTAACTTGCAGCAGCTGAGAACTGTCATCTAAAGTGGATGATAGCTTGCAGTTTAGAGATCTATCCTGGTAACAGCTTTCTATTGGCTAAAGGGTGATCGCTCGAATAAGAACACCTATGTAGAATAGAAAACTTGAGAAGACTCAGAGAAGAGTAGCTGAGTCATAGCCCTCAAGAATTCTGGCTGTTCAGCCACAAGCAGTGTCCCCTCTAAGCTGAGTTAGTGTGAGCTAGCTCACAGTTTTTTAGCCTCCAGCTCACAGGTTTTTTTAGCTTTTGGCTCACACATTTTTGTCTTAGCTCAGGAAGGAGGGCTCCAGAGAAAACTAATTTCTGCAGTAGCCAAATTATTTGCTCACAACTTTAATGCCGGTAGCTCACAAAGTAGAATTTTTGCTCACAAGACTCCACAGCTTAGAGAGAGCATTGTCCACAAGCCACAAAGTCCTGGCTACGGGCCCGAGACAGTGGCCACAACTCCCCGAACGCCACATCAAAGAAGTCTTTTCCTCTCTGCAGCACCGCCTTTGCCTTCTTTATCATGTTTGAGAGCCAAACGGTGGCTCCCCAGTCCATCTTGGTACGCCTGACTGCAGAATTCCACAACCTTTTTGAGCCTGTGGGCACCTTTGGAATTTTGGCGCAGGGTGGTGGGCGCAACCGCAAAATGGCTGCCACATGAAGCAGAGCCACACACAACCAGAGGAAGTCCAAGGGCAGGGGAAAAGAGGGGTAATTTAAAAAAATACACTGGGAAAGAGGAGTGAGACAGAGAATAACACCAGGGCTATTTTGGGGCAGGAACGCACAGGAATGGAGTTCCGGCTGGCTCCCAAGTTGGCCACGCCCAGCAGGAACTCATTAGCATAATAGGCCACACCCAACAGCAGGAACTCATTAGGATTGGCTACATTAGGGGTGTGTGGCCTAACATGCAAAGGAGTTCCTGCTACAAAAAAGCCCTGGGTTTTGACAACAAACAAGGTAAACAGAATAACAAGCAAAAGGTGGGTGTGGCTGGATAACCACACTTCTGGTAACATGGGGTGTGGCCTAATATGCTAATGAGTTACTGCTGGGCTTTTTCTACAAAAAGAGCCCTGAATAACACCAGCATCTGACAGCAATGCTGATTCTGTGAACTCAGGCAGATCCTGAGAGGGAGGGCGGGAAGGGTTGCCTCAGTGCTTAGTTCTCGTGTTGGCCCTTTCTTATACGCCCAGGGAAATGCTGATTGCCACTTTGGGGCCAGGAAGCCATTGTTCTTCAGGCCAGTTTGGCTGGAGATCCTGGAGGTTTTTTGGTCATCTTCTGGGCATGGAACTGGGGTCACTGGGGGTGTGGAGGGGGAGGCACTTGTGAATTTCCTGCATTGTGCAGGGGGTTGGACTAGATGACCCTGGAGGTCCCCTTCCAGCTCTATGATTCTCACACTGTCGTGGCAGCTGCCACTGAAGCAACATTATCTTAATCTGCACAGTCAATCGACTCCCCAACAGCCAATCAGAAGTGAACCCACCCACTCTCTAAAAACACTTGGCAGGCGCCAGGTAAGGTATCAGTGGGCGTCTTGTTGGGGACCCTTGCCTTACTTTTTCATCAAGAAGCGGTTGATGGTCTTTTGCTTGCGCATGAACTGGACAATCTTGCGGTTGAAGTAGACGAAGAGTGCCCCGCCGAAGCCACTGGCAATCCTGAGTTGGGAGAAGGGCATAAACCAAAGGGGAGAAATGTACAATTTCTGGAAAGGAGGAAGCCATGGGAAATAACATCTTTCCCCCCCCCCAAAAAAAATATACAGAATGTTTTTGGGGTAACTGAGACATATGCTGTAGTCACCTTCCTACCAAAGCTAAACTTCTTCTACCGACTTCACATAAAATGCATCATTTACGACTCAGCATATAAAATTGTACCAATTGTCTTATTTTTGGGATTCAGAACCATGACTATCATTATTTTCCATAAGAAACATAGCAAGGCTGTGGTCACACAAGCGACATCATCCGCTTTCAGTCCACTTTCCAACTGGATTTTCCCAGTTCACACAGTAAAATCCAGTTGGAAAGTGCACTGAAAGTGAATTGAAAGTGGATTATTTAGTGTGTGTGACCACAAGCAATGTGTACCAAATACTTGAGAAAAAGTCAGAATAAACAAAATTTAAAAATCCTGAAAATACTGTATGTCTAAGAGGGTTTTTCTTTCCACTGTTCCCCAAGTGTCCCCTGATTTTTCCATCGGCAAAACTGAAAAAATCCTCAGACTTCTTCATGCTGTACATTTTGAATGTGCAAAATGCTTTTCACAACAAGGTTTTTCTCGATGAAAAGGAAGAAGAAGAGGAAGAAGAGGAGGAGGAGGAGACTGGATTTATACCCTGCCCTTCACTACCTGAAGGAGTCTCAGAGCGGCTTACAAACGCCTTTCCCTTCCCCCTCCCCACAACAGACACCCTGTGAAGTAGGTGGGGCTGAGAGAGCTCTGAGAGAAATGACTCTTTTTCAAGAACAGCTCTTATCAGAACTACGGCTTTCCCAAGGTCATCCAGCAGGTGCAAGTGGAGGAGTGGGGAGTCGTTTTTCTCTTCTACCCCACATTTCCCATTTTTTTGATTTAAACAACTGATGGGGCCCTCAGACATTTTCACACTATATATTTCGAGTGTGAAAAATCTTGCCTTAACCAAAATTCTTGTATTTTTGATGTATGTTGAAAAATCTTCCAATAAAAATTTAAATTAAAAAAAAAAATCTTGCCTTAAGATGTGCTTTAGTCATTCTAAAGGAGAAAATATTTCACAGGAGGTGTTTTTTCCCCCAGAGCTCTCCCAAATTTGAAAAAAAACAATTGCCGGGAAGAACACCCCCCCCAGCAAAAATGGCCTCGTTCCAAAGTTTTGATTCCCCCCACCCCCCCCCCCCCGGCCTTCTCCTCTCTAGTCAGCCGAAGAAAGCTCTTGTAGGAAGATCTCCCTGTCCAGCATTGAGAAAGGTCCACGGAGCTCTGAGACTCACCCAATCACTGCGAAGGCCGGCAACTCCTGAAGGTCGAAAGGGAAATCCAGTCGGAAGCGGGTTTTGAAAAGAGCCGTGATGGTCTCTGAAGGGGACAATCACAGAGGGAATGAATGAATGAATGAATGGCTTGTTGACAAGAACCCCAGAGAACATCTTAATTCATAAACATGAAACTTAGGAACTATTAACATAAGAACATAAGAACATAAGAGACGCCAATGCTGGATCAGGCCAAAGGCCCATCCAGCCCAACACTCTGTATCACACAGTGGCCAGAAATACCAGTGCCATCAGGAGGTCTACCAGTGGGGCCATTGTGTGAATCTGAGCACACTATTGTGTGAATTTGAGCATGCTCCTCCCAGTGACTCTCATCACACCCCCAGTGTGGTTGTGGCATCGTCTGTCTAGGGTCCATTATAAGATTCTGGAGCTGCCCTTCTCGAACTTAGGTATTTGGTAGAGTTCTGGAACTGGGTTTCGCCTCCTGCAAATTCTGCAAAATGTCTACTTAACGATCGCATTCCTGGCCTGTAAGCATTTCCCATGTCTGCAGGATTGGTGCGCAAGAACACAATCTCGTGCGTGTTGCAAAAGTCAATCGAATCTCTGCTTTTGATTAAAAAAAAACAACCCAGAATAAGTTTGTAGCCCTTGAGGCAGCCGAGAAAAAACTTGAAAATATGGGTACAGGAAATGGCAACGCCTCCAGTGCTGTGGCTCCCTGACCACAGAGCCCTTTCTATCCAAATCCCTCTTTCGGAGAACAAAACAAAAAGAAATTATTTGAAAACCTACGCGCTGATATTTTTTAGAAAACATCTCTCCACTTATAAACCTATTAAGTTCTTTTGGGGAAAGCCCAAATGGAACTACGAAATCACTTGAAAGAGAAACCAGGGTCTTCTCTGTGGTGGCGGCCCCAATATCATGGAACTTGAAAGTCAAACCAGGGTCTTTGTAGTGGTGGCCCCAACCTTATGGAACTCAAACGTTAAAGCGGGGTCTTCTCTGTGGTGATGGCCCCAATATTATAGAATTCCCTTCCCAACGAGATTCACTAGAAACCAACACTGCAGACTCCTTACAATGCACTCAAATTGATTCCCTTTCAAAGAGAAATTCATGCATCTGTTAAAACTGAACTTAAAGCATGACAGATCCCAGCCTGACACTCCCAAGGATGACACCAGGCTGCGTCTTAATGACTTAGAACTCCCTTAGTTCAGGATTCCAGAGACTGGGGAACAGCTGGTCACAAGAATGCTCTGCGGGTGGTCTTTTGCCACCTAACCTCCTGGAAGCCACTTACACCTTGTGGTCTGATACTGTGCTGAGGTTGCCAACCTCCAGGTGAGACCTGGAGACCTCTGGGTAATGTGACAGCAAAGATCGGTTCCTCTGGAGAATAGGGTTGCCAAGTCCTTACCTGTCCCGGAGCGGGGGAGTCCAGGCTCGCTCCGGGAGTCTTCGCGTGCGCACGCTGCAGGCACGTCACAGGGAAGTGACGTAAGCACGTCGGGGACGTTGGGGGCGGGGCCACAATCATCCGAGGGAAGACCATAGAGTTTTCCCTTGGATGATTGTAGCCCCGCCCCCAACGTAGTCTGTGCACTACACCAAACTGGAGGAAAAGGATGCTTTGGAGGGGGGGTGGGACTCTGTGGCACTATGCCTCGCTGAGGCCCCTCCCCTCCCCAACCCCACCTTCCCCAGGCTCCACCCCCAAATCTCCTGGAATTTCTCAGCCGAGAGTTGGTAACCCTGCACTGGGCTCACTGCTCCACCGGCTGAGCCATCCTGGTTGGAGGACAGCCCTGGAGAAAACGCTACGTTTTGCGGGATGGGCAGGGAGGAAACGGGGGTGGTGGTGGTGGTACCTTCGTCCTTGTTCCACACGGCCAGCACCCGGAAGATGAAAGCGCTGAAGGTCGCCGCGAAGAAGCCGCGCCAGTAGTTGCGGACGGCAAAGAAGGTCGAGGTGACTTCGATGCTGAAGAGGACACCTGGGGGGTGGTGGGGTGACACAAAAGAGGGAAGCATGAGGCAGCCGCTGGAGGAGTTCTCGTCCCCCCCCCCTCTCTGCCTTCTTCTAGGTCAGGCCCTTAGTCTACCAAGGGCAGCACCAGGGCTATCTTTGGGCAGGAACGCACAGGAACGGATTTCCGGCTGGCTCCCAAGTTGGCCACGCCCAGCAAGAACTCATTAGCATAATAGGCCACACCCAACCGCAGAAACTCATTTGGATTGGCTACATTAGGGGTGTGTGGCCTAACATGCAAAGGAGTTCCTGCTACAAAAAAAGGCCCTGGGTTTTGACAACAAACAAGGTAAACAGAATAAGAAGCAAAAGGTAGGTGTGGTTGGATGACCACTCTTCTGGTAACATACGGGGTGTGGCCTAATATGCTAATGAGCTATGCTGTCAGGGGTGTGGTCTAATATGCTAATAGGTTTCTGCTGTTGGGTGTGGCCTATTATGCTAATGAGCTCCTGCTGGGCTTTTTCTACCAAAAAAGCCCTGCACACACACACGCACACAACGTTTTCTTTGAGAAAGTGAGCAAGTCCTGAAGCAGTCAGGGAAGAGACACACGTCACAGGGGCAAGACAGAGAAGACGTGGCGGAAGACCCTGCCGGGCACCGTGGTCAACACACAAAGACAGTTAAGACGGGTCACCAACCTAGGAGAGCCGAAGCGGCGATAAGAGTCAGGCTGTGCAGAAGGCCTGCCTGGGCGGAGTGTGTAGCAGGGGGGAAAGGAGGAGATGACATTATGGCGGTCAGTGAGACAGAAGGTCCCCCCAAATCCCTCCCATGCCCCATAGGGCTCCAAACCAATGCTCCCTTCTAAGCTGTGGAGTCTTGTGAGCAGAAATCCTACTTTGTGAGCTGCTGGCATTAAAGTTGGGAGCGAGCGATTTGGCCACTGCACAAATTAGTTTACTACTGCACATATCTACTAAGTTACTGCTGCTCTGGAGCCATCCTTCCTGAGCTAAGACAAAAATGTGTGAGCGGGAGGCTTAAAAAACTGTGAGCTAGCTCACACAAAGCTTAGAGGGAACGCAGCTCCCAACCAGGTCACCCTT